CGGCGGGGACTCTCCCCCAGATGTTCCCCGAGCTGCACATCTGGTTCCGGTTCCTCTCTCCTGGGGAAGTGAAAGTGGAGGGGAGGGCACTGGCCGGAGTTAGCCGTGCCCCTGCATCCTGCTCCCCTCTGTCTCCCCCAGGGGGTCGAAGCTGGAGCCCCCCTCCCTCCCGCTCAGGGTCACGCGGGCGGTTCCTTCTCTGCCCCCAGCGCGCCCCTCGCCCCTCTGCCCCCCTGCTCCTTCCCCAGCCTCCTCTCACTGCGTGCCCTTTGCCCTAGCCTCAACTTCATGACGCTCGGCGTGGGTGCCGGGGGTCGGGACCCCCGAGTGGCGCTGAAGCCGAATTGTCTGCCCCCGAGTGAGGGCTGCCTCCCCCTGTGGGACTTTTCCCTGGCTCGGTGAGGGACGCCCCGGCAGGCGGGCCCTAGATAGGATGGGAGCCATCTCACCTCTCACCTTGCCCCTGGCCCATGACCCCTGCCGACTGCCTAGGACATAGGACTCCCATTCTGCTGTGGCTAAGGGACAGGGCTGTGCCCCAGAGCTAAATCAGGACTCTGACGCTGACTCTGGGCTCACCTCACATTCTGGGGAGGCTAAATTTAGCTGGGGTTGGGGTGTTCGTGGAGGGCAGAGGAGGCCAGGTTAGGGAGCGAGCCAGCCTGTCCCCTGAAGATTCCCTTGCTCCCTGTTCCCGGAAAAAGGTTCTGGAGTAGAGAAGACTTCACATGCTGGCGTGCTGATCCTCCCTGCCAGGCTCCAGGCTCCTTTCGTCAGATTCCTCCTTGTGGGCATAATGCTGTGCTGTCACCACTCACAGCACCCTACCACCACCACCACACACACACACCCTTGCCCATAGACTGACTTCCGCTGGGCTGTAGCTTCCCCTCTGCTGTTACAGGAAGTCACCTCCCTTCCCCTCTGATGCGGCCCCCACTCCCATGCCTCCCGGCCCCTGCCGCAAGCCACCTACCAAGGTCTTTCCTAGCTTCTGCGTCTTGGGGACCATAGAAGTACCTGCTCCCTGGGGCTGGGCCATGGAGGCAGGTGAGAACATGGGTGTTGAGGATCATGGTGGGCCTGTTTTCAGGAAGTCTCTGGGCTCTGTGGAAGAAGGCCTGGGGACTACCGGAACACTCTCATGGCTATTTTGGACTTCACTAGGGGTCCTAGAGGTGAAAGGGCACTGGCTTTTTGGTCAGCTTAGTCGCCCTGGGTTAGAAAAAAGAACCTTGAGTCTGAAGAAAAGACGCTAAAGCTTGGGTTTGGTGGACTTTCCTAGAAACCTGTGGGATCCTCGTGCAAACCTGGGGGCGGGCCCTTGAAGACATTAGCTGGTTCACAAGGTTCTTAAGATGCCCCAACCTAAGTAGGAAAGTCAGAAACCCTGAACAAAACTGTGATGTCATGACCCAAAGGGTTGGTGTCATTGTAGCCCATTCCAGCAAGACTGGTCTCTGTGTCTGAGTAGAGAGTGAGGAGGGTTATGATCTTTAGAGGGGCGACAGGGACAATATGGTGTCAGCACCCAGGTGAGCTGGGTATGTGTGTGAGTTCTTTGGGGAGTGTACTAGTACCATGCAGCCTGAAGGCCCTGGTCTCTTTAAGGACCTGTGGTGGGCTGTGAGGGTCTGGTGATGTCCCAGGCGGGAGAGTTCAGGATTGGCTGACCATTTGTCCCGCTTGACTTTGGGGAGTCTAGCAAGAGGGGGAGCAAGAGGGCACCTTGGTCGCCATGGAAGCACCTGGCTTCCTTGTTTCATCTCTGCCCCCCTCCATTGTTTCAGATGCAGCGAGTGAGGGGGGGGCCATGGCAGAGGAGCGGCCCCCCCGGCTGGTGGATTACTTCGTGGTCGCTGGGCTTGCAGGGAACGAAACACCCCTCCCGGAAGAAACGTGGGTTCCTGAACCCAGTGGGCCTCTGCGTCCTCCCCGACCAGCCGAGCCCATCACAGATGTGGCGGTCATCGCTAGGGCACTGGGCGAGGAGGTGCCCCAGGGCTACACGTGCATCCAGGCTTCCACTGGGGGCCACCTTTTAGAACTCAGCGCTGGGCTCCTGGGTGGAACGCAGCCCGCCATTTGCTACCGCAGGGGCCGTGACAAGCCCCCCCTCGTTGAACTGGGGTGTGTGCCTCTGCCTGTGCTGGCCTCAGAGGAGGTTGGGAGGGGGCTGGGAGAGGTCGTGAGCGGTAGGGATGTGGGAGGGGCACGGAGGCCAAGGTTTGCGTCCCTAGTCATCAGACAGATCCGCACGGTGTACAAGCTGGGCTGTCCGCTTGCTGTGTGCCCTAGGCAGGTTGGTGAGCCTCTCTAGGTATGTTTCCTTACCTAGCAAATAGAGACAGTTGTACCTCCTCATAGGTACCATGCCTGGGAAGATTAAATGAGACAATCCACATAGAACTGTGGTTCTCAACCTGTGGGTTGTGACCCCTTTGAGGGTAGAACGACCCTTTCACAGGGGTGGCCCAATTCATAACAGTAGCAAAATTCCAGTGACTGAAGTAGCAATAAAAATAATGTTATGGTTGGGGGGTCGCCAGACCATGAGGAACTGGTCGAAAGGGTCGCGGCATTAGGAAGGTTGAGAACCACTGACGTCAAGGATTATTCTTAGTATTTATTAGGGGCTGCTGCAGGAGACAGGAATCTGGAGGGCGGGTTCAGCAAAGACAAGGGGAGCCCTGGTGTTGGGATTTGACAAGGCCAGGAATACAAGGCAGTTGTGGGCGGAATAGATAGGGCTGGGGTCTTTCTCCACTGTCTTTTGAACTCTTGACATTTTTTCTACTCTCTGTGCCAAGGGTGTTGTATGAGGGGAAGGAACGTCCCAAGCCTGGCTTCCAAGTACTAGACACGACACCCTACAGCCATTCAGCTAACCTGGCCCCTCCAGGTCCAGGGCACCCCCGCACCTACCTCACTTACCGGCGGGCTGCGGAAGGGGCAGGGCTGCATGCCCTGGGCATCACTGACCTCTGCCTGGTCCTGCCCAGCAAGGGCGAGGGCACTCCTCATACCTACTGCCGGCTGCCCCGTAACCTCAACCCTGGCATGGTGAGTCGAGCCCTGGGATCATCTTGGCATGAGGGGTTCAGACACTGAGCATAGAGGGGCATCTTAGGACCAAGGTCTATCACTGCAGGGGCAGACCCGGAGGGATGGTTTGGCCTTGGGGAACGAACAGGGATTAATGAGTGCTCTGAAGACAGGCCAGGCAGGGGTGATAGAAAACGGACCCCTGAGCCCTTTGATAGCTGCGTTACCTGCTTGTCTCTTGCATCTCCGGTACAGTGGGGCCCAGCAGTGTACCTGTGTTACAAGGTGGGCCTGGCCAAGGCCAACACACTGGTGTATGAGGCAGGTGAGTGGCCCCTTTGTCCCTGGCCTGATGGCTGGCCCCAGTACCCACTTTGCCGCTGGGCCCTTTTCTGGTACCCCCTGGCTTCTTCCTCTGACACACCCTTCTCCTTTGGGGCGCCCTCTCTGGGGGTGCAGAGCTGCTGGGCCGCTACCCTGAGGAGGACAATGAAGCGTTCCCCCTGCCGGAGTCCGTGCCCGTCTTCTGCCTGCCCATGGGGACCACTATCGAGTGCTGGCCTGCCCAGACCAAGTACCCTGTGCCCGTCTTCTCCACCTTTGTGCTCACGGGGGCAGCCGGTGATAAGGTGGGTGTCTGGAGTGTAGCTGGGGCCCAGGCTGCGCAGGACCCACCTGACCGCCCCTCTTCCCCCCTCCAGGTATACGGGGCCGCTCTGCAGTTCTATGAGGCCTTCTCCCGGACTAGGCTGTCGGAGCGGCAGGCGCAGGTGTTGGGCCTGCTGAGCGCTGTGGAGAGGGGCCGGTCGCTGGAGGGCAGGGCCGTGCGCAGCCGGCGCGCCATAGCGGTGCTGTCCCGCTGGCCCGCCTTCCCGGCCTTCCGTGCCTTCCTCACCTTCCTTTACCGCTACTCCGTCTCCGGCCCCCACCGGCTGCCCTTGGAAGCGTGAGCAGGGCTCCCGGGGATACTGGAAAGGGCTGTGAGGGCAGGGGAGGCCAAGAGGAATGGCAGAAATTAGGGTGGAGCTGGAGGAGTGGGTGTGGACAGAGGGGCGAGGGGCTGTCCAGTTTACCCACTGCCCAACCAGCTCTGGCCAAGGCAGGGAGTGCTCCAATTTCAGGGACACTTTCTAGCCCACTCCTGGCAAGGGACTGTCCATGGCCAGAGGGGCACTCTTGTACTGTGTACAGGTTCTATATACTGTATAATGGGGGTTCTTGGTGGGGTGAAGCTGCGGGACTCGGGGAGTAATAAAGCCCTTCGGGAAAGTGCTGGGAGGTGGGAGCGTGGGAGCCGTTGGTCAGACAGGGCTTGGGCCTCTGACGCGTTTCCTTCCCTCCCCAGGCACATCTCCCACTTCATCCACAACGTCCCCTTCCCTTCCCCACAGAGACCCCGCATCCTAGTACAGGTGAGAGCAGGGTCTGAGCCTGAGTGCGGATGACAGGAGGGGGGTTGGCCGTGATCTGTCTGACGGGTGGCTCTTCTACTCTCCTAGATGTCTCCCTATGACAACCTGCTCCTCTGTCAACCCGTGTCCTCACCTCTGCCGCTCAGGTATGTGCAGGCTTGGAGGAGGGAGGAGTGGTTGATGGCCAAGGACAGGATAGATACCAGACTGGTGGCCCCAGCTGTCTGTGCTTGAGGACTGGGGAAGAGGTGTCCTGTCATCTCCTGGTGAACCCTAGCCCACCTTGGCACTGCCCGCCCACAGTGGTGCCAGCTTCCTGCAGCTGCTGCAGAGCCTGGGCCCTGAGCTGGCGGTCACGCTCCTGCTCGCCGTGCTCACGGAGCACAAACTGCTCGTCCACTCCCTGCGGCCAGACCTGCTCACCAGCGTCTGCGAGGCCCTGGTCTCTGTGAGTACCACCTGGCCCAGCCCCACTTCCCTAGACCATTGTTCTTTCTCAGGTGTGCCCCTCACCCTTTCGTGGACCCTGCCCCATTTCCATCTGTGCGAAGGGTTCCCCAGCCTCCCTCCTGGGAGTTCGTTTCCCTGCAGGGGTCCTCATCCCAGCAGCTTCTCTGAGCAGGCCTCCCTGGCCCCGGCCCTCCCTGTGACCCCCGGCCCCTCCCAGAGCCCTGCTCACAGCTGGCTTCTCCCTCCCTGGGGCTGCAGATGATCTTCCCGTTGCACTGGCAGTGCCCCTACATTCCGCTGTGCCCGCTGGTGCTGGCAGACGTGCTGAGCGCCCCGGTGCCTTTCATCGTGGGGATCCACTCCAGCTACTTCGATCTGCATGACCCGCCTGCTGATGTCATCTGTGTTGATCTTGACACCAACACGCTCTTCCAGTGAGAGGGCTGGGTCTCTCGGCAGGGACAGCGGGCGGGCGGAGGCGCGTGAGGGCGCTACCTGCTCAGAGGGAGCGTCAGGCAGAAAGCAGGGGAGGCCGGTGAGGAGGGGAGGGTGGTGGACTCGCAGCTTCATCACCCTTCCTTCCTATGCCCTTCTCCCAGGACGGAGGAGAAGAAGCCCCTCCCCGCTCGCACCCTGCCCCGCAGGCCCTACAAGGTTTTGCTGGCCACCCTGACAAACCTGCATCAGCAGCTGGACCAGAGTGAGACACCAGGGCCTGGCAGTGGTGGTGGTGGTGGTGGTGGCAGGGGGAGGCTAGGGCTGTTAGTGGGCCTGGACCTTAATGCTCCAGTTTGGAAAACCTGTGGGGAGCTAGCTCTGACTTGGGAAGGTCAGGAGAGCTAGGATTCAGGTTGCAATTTGAAGGCTCAAAACTGTTATGGATGTCCTTTGTTAGCTGCTATTAATTGGGAGGGGTGTGTTTCTGGTAAGGCTGGCAATGGTGGGGCAGCGGCGGGGAGGGACACCTGTGGGAGGTAAGCACTGGGGTGGCAGTGCTGATTCTCGGGTCACACTGGTCCCCAGCATATACTGGGCCCGAGGAGGAGGCATCCCTGGAATTCCTGCTGACAGACTACGAGGCTGTGTGCGGCCGCCGGGCCCGGCTGGAGCGCGAAGTCCAGGGCGCCTTCCTCCGCTTCATGGCCTGTCTGCTCAAAGGCTACCGGGATTTCCTGCGCCCGCTCACCCAGGCCCCCTCTGAGGGGTCTCGAGATGTGGACAACCTCTTCTTCCTGCAGGGTAAAGAGGGCCCCGTCTGTCTCTGCTTGGGGAGGGGCTGACCGGGGCTGACTTGTTCCTGTGGGTCCTTACTTGGAGTCAGGCGCCGTGCTGGGCTGGGAGCATGTAAGGCACAAGATGAGCCCACTGGGCCCTGCCCTCTGAGAGCCCTGGGCCTTTGTGGTGGACATAGACAATGATACCTGCCAGCAGCTCTCGTGGCAAAGCTCATCTCCCAGGATGCTGTCCTTAGAGACAGCCACTCTAGTCGGAGGTGGGGTGCAGACAGACAAAAGGGAGGCCTATCCCATAGGACCCTGGTGCCGAGGAAACTGAGCTGATCAGGTTGGTGTCGAGGGCAGGTAGGCTAGAGGGCCCCGAGATGATAACTTTGAGGACCTTGTGTCCCATCAGGATCCTGAGTGGGCAGGGAGCCAAGAAGGGCTCAGGAGGGTTTCAGTGGCTGGAGACCCTGGGAACATCCCTCTGCCCACATTGCATCCCCACTCAGGCTTCTTGAAATCCCGGGAACGCTCCAGCCACAAACTGTACTCTCAGCTGCTCCACACACAGATGTTCTCACAGTTCATTGAGGAATGCTCTTTTGGCTCTGCTCGACATGCTGCTCTTGAATTCTTCGACTCTTGCGTTGACAAGGTATTGGACCTTGCCCCTTCTCTGTGCGCCCATTGGCCTCTGCCCTCTCGCCAGCTGTCTCTTGCCCCAGGGCCACTGCACAGCACAAACCCAGACCTATGCAGGCACAGCCTAGGCTGCACTATGAGGCGGGCTTCATGTGGCTACGTATCCCTGCATTCCGCCCTCCCAGCCCGTCTCCAGGGCCTTGATGGAGTTGTAGCCTGCGGGCCCCTGCTAGTGGACGTGCTAGGCACTGATGTGATTGCTGCCCACTCTCTGCCACCTTGCCCAGGTCCACCCCGAGCAGGAGAAGCCTGAGCCGACGCCCTTGGTGGAGCTGGAGGAGCTGTCGGGCAGTGAGCTCACTGTCTTTATCACCCCACCTGAGGAGCCTGCAGTGCCCGAGGGCAGTGAGTCCTCCCCTCTATACTGGTGAGAGCCTCAGATGGGTGCCTTGGTTTGCCCCAGGCCTCAGTGGCTGGCCCAGCCCAGCCTGTTTGGCCCTGTGCTGCCCACCCTGATGTGCCCCTCTCCATTCTTCTAGCTATGATGGATTCCCAGAGCTACAGCCTGAGCTGTTCGAGTCTCCTCAAGAGCAGCCTGGGGCCCTGCCTGTGCCGGGCCCATCCCGCAGCGCCCCCAGCAGCCCTGCTCCACGCCGCACCAAACAGGTAACTAGCAGGCAGGTGCACCCGAGGGGCCTGGCTCCGTGGGTGGGCTGCCACTTCCATTCCTTGTCTGTAAAATGGGGATCCTGCATGTCATCGTGCCTGCCCCATGAGATTGTTCTACCACCCCACGTGCACCATAGTTGAACAGTGCCCCATCGGGTTCCCAGTGGTTGATTTCGCAGAAGTCTAGCACCAGGCCTCTGGGTGGACTTGAACTGCCACCCTTCTGGTTAGTGTGAACCATTTGCATCTCCCAGAGGTTAAGGTTTGAATGTTCCCGGCACGTAGAAACATGCTTGGTATAGATATGCTGCTTGTGGCCTCCCCTTCCTCCTGCAAGCTCTCTGGGAAGCCAGGGCTTGGCTGCCTCCTCCAGGGCACCTGCCCATACTGAGGGGTGCTCAGGGGCTCAGGGCTTCCTCTGGGTGTGGACTTCTCCACACCCTATTTGCAGGCCTGCATCCTGGCATTGCGTTCACCCTGGCGTGTCCCCTGCCCACCCCCAGGAGATGAAGGTTGCGCAGCGGATGGCACAGAAGTCAGCAGGCACGCCTGAGCGGTGGGCCCGGTGCCTGCTGGGGCACTGCTATGGGCTGTGGTTCCTGTGTCTGCCAGCCTACGTGCGGGCAGCGCCCTCCCGGGTGCGCGCATTGCACACGGCCTATCACGTCCTGCGCCAGATGGAGAGCCGTAAGGTGGTGCTGCCAGACGAGGTAGGCCACCGCGTCCCCAGCTCCGCCCACTCCCTACCCTGTGAGGCTGGTGCAGCCCTGGGGGAGCGGGCCAGGGCTGCCTGGTGGGCATCATGGAAAGCTGTGGGGCTGAGGCAGAGGGGGAGCAGCCCTGGGTGGCTGCTCCCTAGCCATTCCCTCCGAGCCCAACCCTGCTCAGGATACAGCTGTGGAACCTGCAGGCAGAATGGGGAGGGGTTCTTCCAGGAACCCGTTGAGTGTGAGCACTGGGGAGGCTGCCAGGCAAGGGTGTGTGCCGAGCTGAGGTTCTGGTTGGGGGTGACCTGTGTCTCTCCTGGCCAGGTGTGTTACCGAGTGCTAATGCAGCTTTGCTCCCACTACGGGCAACCCGTGCTGTCTGTGCGGGTGATGCTGGAGATGCGGCGGGCGGGCATCGTACCCAATACCATCACCTACGGCTACTACAACAAGGTACAGGATTTGGGGCTGCCAGGTGTGTGCATGGGGCGGGTGCTGTGCCTTGGCAGGCGTGGCTCTCCTGGCTCCTTGGAAACCAGACCTGTGCCACTCAAGTAGGTGCTGTGCCCATTGTCATTGTGGTGCTCGGGCACAATTCTAAAGACAACCCTTGCTTCATCCTTGCAGAACAAGGTAGGGGTGGGGGGAAGGGCGATGGCCCTCGGGTGGAGATGAGGAGATGAAGTCCCAGTGCGTGAGTGAGTTAGGGAGTTCGACTCCGAGGGGGCTTCAAAAAGTAGTAGTGACTGAACAAAACGATAATGGAGTTTTCCCCTCTGAAGCCCCCTCTGATAAGTGCAGGCATCATCATGTCTCCTGAATCCAGGCTCTCAGCCATGATACGAAATTGGTTCTTACTTTTTAGAGGAGGAGGCTGATGAGCAACAAATGAACAGGTTTCTTTAAGCGGTATAGTTAATAAGTAGCACGGTTTGGATATAAATGTTCCTCCTCTGCTCCTTGTTTTCTCTGGGCCCCTCCAGAGGCATCTGCTGCCTGCCTGCCTTCGTTCCCAGTGGGGTCACTGGTGGGACCCTCGCAGGCTGGCTGGCTGTGGGCAAGGTGTGTCCCTGTCCCTAGGGCCCTGGACAGACTGCGGGCATCATGCTGGGGCTCAGGTGTGGAATAGGCCATATTGATGGGCACTGTGTTTGGCAGGCGGTGCTGGAAAGCAAGTGGCCATCTGGCACGCCGGGTGGGCGCCTGCGTTGGGCCAAGCTCCGGAATGTTGTCCTGGGGGCCGCTCAATTCCGCCAGCCCTTGAGAGACCGGCAGCAGCAGCAGGCAGCAGCACATCAAGAGGCAGGCTGCTCCCAGCCAGGTGGGTAGGGAGGGACAGATGAGGTAGGCTGAGGACAGAGTGGCCAGGCTCCGCAGACAGGCAGGAGGAATTGGGGCTGGCTTAGGCTTTGCCATTGGGGGTTTCAGGATGGCGTTATGTCGGGGAAGGGGGATGCGTGTACACTCAGGTCTATCCAAGGAGTTCTTGTTAGAGTAGGGGTCTGGATCCCTAGCTGACCATCTCTAACCTCCCCACCCTCTGGCTTTCACAGATCCCCACCTGGAACGCCCCTCCCCTACCCGCCCTCTTCAGCGCCAGACTACCTGGGCTGGGCGCAGCCTTCGGGACCCAGCCTCCCCCACAGGGCGCCTGATGAAGAGCAGCAGCCTGAGCAGTGCCCACGGGGTACAGCCCACTGTGGAGGCTGGCGTGGCCCACAGTGAGTGCCGGTGGCTGACCCCTCATCAACAGAGGGAAGCCCAGAGCCAGGGTGGAGAAGGGCCATCTGTGGCTGACCCCAGCCTGCAGATTGTCGGGGTGGGGGTGGGGTGGTATAGCAGGATCTTCGTATGTACCTAGGAAAAGGGGCTGCCTGAGCACGGCTAGGCTCTCTTCCCGAATCCTTTTCTGCCCTGCAGTGATCGAGGCTTTGGGGGTCCTGGAGCCCCAGGGTTCACCTGTGCCCGGGAATGATGGCAGCCTCTCCGATCTGAGCCTGGCAGGGGAGGAGCCGGCACCTGGAGGCAGCCCAGGAGGCGTGGGTCCCACCCCGACTTCCCAGCCCCCTGAGGTCTTGGAAGGGCTCAGTGGGCGTGTGACCAAGGCTGGAGGGCGTCAGGATGAAACTGGCACCCCTCGGCGAGGACTGGGTGCCCGCCTCCAGCAGCTGCTCACTCCTTCCCGCCGCTCCCCAGCCTCCCATGCTCCCCCACCTGAGCTGCCCCCCGACCTGCCTCCCCCTGCCCGCCACAGCCCTATGGACAGCCTTCTGCGGCCCCGGGAGCGCCCTGGGTCTACGGCCTCAGAGGTAGCCAGTCAGCGCTGGGAGGCCTTGGGAGGGGCTGTGACAGAACTGGGAGAATGCCTCTGGGCTGGGCCCTGAGGGTGGTGGTAGTGGCCGGGGTGGGGGTGGGGGGTTGGAATCCGCCTCCTGTGGGCTGGCTGACCATGCTTTCTCCTGTCCCCGCAGAGCTCAGCCTCTCTGGGCAGTGAGTGGGACCTCTCAGAATCTTCCCTTAGCAGCCTGAGCCTTCGCCGTTCCTCAGAGCACCTCAGAGATACCCCCGGATCCTTCCAGCCACCGTCACTGGAAGTGAGGATGACCCCCCCCCACAACATACACAGATGTACATGTACACCCCCACAGAGACACACATTTACCCCGTCAAAGGCAGAGGATGGGGAAGAGGCAGCAGGGTCTTGGGTGGCAGGTCCTGGGGCCAAGCAGGGCCTACCTATTGCTTGGGGTCTTGTTGCCCACAGATCCTGCTATCTAGCTGCTCCCTGTGCCGTGCCTGCGACTCGCTGGTGTACGATGAGGAGATCATGGCTGGCTGGGCACCTGATGATTCCAACCTCAACACAACCTGCCCTTTCTGCGCCTGCCCCTTTGTGCCCCTTCTCAGTGTCCAGACCCTGGATTCCCGACCCAGGTGCCCAAGGCAGGGCGAGTGCTGTGGGTGAGGCAGGGAGATGGGTGTCCAATGACTGACCCCTCCTCCTATCCTGGCCCTGCAGTGTCGCCAGCCCCAAGCCTGCCCCTGCTGGTGCCAGTGGCAGCAAAGACGCCCCTGCAGCTGGGGGCCCTGGCCCTGTGCTCAGTGACCGCAGGCTCTGCCTGGCTCTGGACGAGCCCCAGCTCTGCAACGGGCACATGGGGGTAAGGGCTGGGCCAAAGGCCATGGGCACATGGCACCCTGTGGGAGACCAGGGTGGGTGGGTAGAGATGGGGATTGAAGCTCAGTGACCCCCCAGGAGCTGCCAGGCATGATGATGGCCCAGTGGGAAATGAGGTTCTGGGGATGGGGCCACGAGACATGCCCTCCACAGTCCTCTCCCTCTTATGCTTGGCAGGGTGCCTCCCGGCGGGTAGAGAGTGGGTCCTGGGCCTACCTGAGCCCTCTGGTGTTGCGTAAGGAGCTGGAGTCGCTGGTGGAGAACGAGGGCAGTGAGGTGCTGGCATTACCTGAGCTGCCAGCCGCCCACCCCATCATCTTCTGGAACCTCTTGTGGTATTTCCAACGGCTGCGCCTGCCCAGTATCCTAACAGGCCTGGTGCTGGCCTCCTGTGATGGGCCGGCCCCCCCCCAGGTCTGTGCCTTCCTGGGGCCCCTGCTCCCTCCTCATAGTGCTGTGTGCAACAAAGCTTTGTTGTACTTAGAATCTTTGCCCCCTCACATCATCCCAGCTGCACTCTGATTATATTTTCTCATCTGTAAAATGGGGGGATAAGGCTGGTGTCCAGAGGCCTGCTGTAGTGTCTGGTACTTAGCCCACTATCTACAAGTGTTCCTGTACTCACTCATGCCGTCAGTACTTCTTGAGTACCTTCTAGGTTCCAGGTTTAGTTTGGAGACACCAGATAGAGATGGACCAGATTACAAAACAGAGCCCTTGTTCTCAAAGAGGTTCCGCTCTAATAAGGAGGCTGGACTGACAGTTCCTTCCCTTCTCCTCCTCTCTGGCTGTTTCCTGTCATACTCTCGTCTCCTTGCACGTCGCCTGCCCCGTTCCTAGTCTCTGCCTACCATTCCACAAGTCTAACTGTCTGCTCTCTCTTGACTCTCCACAGGCCCCGTCTCCTTGGGTAACCCCTGATCCGGCCTCTGTGCAGGTGCGGCTACTGTGGGACGTCCTGACCCCTGACCCCAGTAGCTGCCCACCTCTCTACGTGCTCTGGAGGGTACACAGTGAGTCTGGGCTTTGGCCTAGGGAAGGAGGGGTGGGCCCCACACCTGGGGGCTCAGCAATCCTGGCCTTCTTCCCTTTCACTCAGGCCAGATCCCCCAGCGGGTTGTATGGCCGGGCCCGGTACCCACATCCCTTAGCCTGGCATTGCTGGAGTCAGTACTGCGCCACGTCGGACTCAATGAGGTGCACAAGGCTGTGGGGCTCCTGCTGGACACACTAGGGCCCCCGCCCACGGGCTTGCACCTGCAGAGGTATGCTGCTCTCACCTGGTGGTCCCTGGCCCGTCCCAGGAGCCGCGCCCTCTTCCTTTCCCTCCCATCCTTCTGTGTCCACTCCAGGGGCATCTATCGCGAGATCCTATTCCTGACAATGGCTGCTCTGGGCAAGGACCACGTGGACATAGGTGAGGAGCAGGCAGGCACTGAGGCACTTGGGGGACCTGAGGGCAGGATGGGTGATAAAGGTCCTAAAGCGTTGGCCGCACTCTCTTCCCTAGTGGCCTTCGACAAGAAGTACAAGTCTGCCTTTAACAAGCTGGCCAGCAGCATGGGCAAGGAGGAACTGAGGCAGCGGCGGGCACAGATGCCCACCCTCAAGGCCACTGACTGCCGGAAATGTTTTGGAGCACCTCTGGAATGCTAGGAACTCTTCGCTCCCTGCTCTTGCTGTGCGGTGGAACAGCCCGCTTTCCTGTTGCCCTCATGGAGGAGTTGGGAACACGGGCTGGCAAGCAATCCCAGCCAGAGGCTCCGAGTGGGGGTGGCAAGAAGAGGGACCCACTGTTACCCAAAGTCACAGTTCCCTTATCTGCACCCTGCCCAATATGCTCGTGCTGACACTGGGGAAGGGCCGGAGGGAGTCGGCCCAGTTCTGTTCCTCCTCTGTCTTATACAGAGGACCCCGCCCCTCCCCTCCCCAGGGTACCCACAGATCTGCATTGCCCTGGTCATTTTAGAAGTTTTTGTTTTAAAAAACAACTGTAAAGATACAGAGCTACTGAGCCTTTGCCCTGAATGGGAGGGAGGGAGTCCCCAGCCACAAGGCCGCCTACTGTGGCATTGCTGAAGGAGCTCCCCATGCCGTCCCACCTTAGTGTTGGTATTTTATTTTTATTTTAAGTTATTTATTCTGGAGCTACAGCCTCCTTGTTTACGAGGTTCTTGTGGAGGATGATAAAGAAGGGAAATGGGGCACCAAGGGCTGGTGGTTTGGAGCGCCTTGATAGTCAGGTGGCGGGACTAGAGGAGTCCCAGCCTCTGCTTGGGAAGAAGTGGTGCCCCCTCCAGTCCTAACCCTGGACCAGTCCTCCTTGGGGATGCCCCTCCCACCCAGGGCCCTGAACTGTGCAATAAGGATCGTTGAAGTTGGATGTAAATATAGTAAACGCTGCTTCTGTCTTTTTCCCGCTGCCTCCTGTTTTGTGGGTCTGGGAGGATGGCGGGGTTACCTCTCTTTCCCCCTGGCTGCACATTCCCCCTTCTATCCCCTGCAGCTTTCAGCCATATCCTGCTTTTCCTGAGCAGGTCTGGAGCTGGCCCCGGGGGGCACAGGGAGTCCTCAGAGTCGGAGAGGGGTGAATCCACGCTGGCTATGGTGGTGCAAGTCTGCGTGGCACTTCCGGCCCTCCCATACAATCACCCCCTTGTCCCTCATCTGTACCCACACAAAGGCTCCATTCTCTGGGGGCCTTGAGCTCATCTCTGCCTTCTTCCCCCTGGCCTCCCCAGCCAGCCTCTCTAGTACCTCCACAGGGATGACACCCCTCTCTCCAAGAGTTGCTGTTGGCAGACCTGGTGCATCTCCAGGGCCCTGGCAGCCACCCCCTGCCTCCTTCCAATTTTAACTACATGGAGTGCGCCTTCACCTCTGACCAGGGTTTTAGCCTGAGGGCAGCACCAGGGAAATGGGGGCAAGGATCCAGGGGCTTGCTGCAGTTGGACATCGGGGAAGCGGACGGGCATCATTTTCCTACCCCTTTTGGCCCACTCGAATTTCTCCTTCCTCTTTCCTGTATAATGAAATAAACACAGGAAACAGCTCCTAACAGAGCTGCAAAACCAATCACCAAAGGGAATTAGCCAGCAAAACAGAAGTGCCTTGGGGAAGGAGGGTGGGAGTGTCAATAAAGGAAATAATTTACGTGGGCCCAACGTGCAAAATCCTTCCAGTGGAGGAGGGAGGGATGACTTGTGAACACCCACCGGGACCTTCAAGCCAGAGGCCCTATCCCCATCTGGTCTTGAGCATGGCAGGATTCTTGTCCTCTTGGGTCCTCAGGGAGCTGCGGAGGAGAGAAGCAGAGGCTTAGGAAAAACCACCTGCCTTGCCTGTGACTAGGAGATGCCTTCCTCAGAGGGGAACTCTCAGGTTCAAATGCCCAGCCCTGGAGGCCCAGAATCAACCTCTCCCTACTTCCTCTCCAGGGTCTTTAGAAAGGGAGCACCTGCCCTCCTAACAGCAGGTTTCTTTTGCGTCCTCTTGGTACCCTTCTCACTTTGGGCTTTCCTCCTGGAGGCCCAGCATGAGGTGGGTGGAGCTACAAGACCACCAGGTCAAACCCAAAAAAGCTGTTGCTGACCCAGGCTGCCTATAGGACAGAGTGCCACTGGCTTCCAAGATGATGGTCTTTAAGAGGAGCAGATTAAACATCTTTTCCCCATGGAAGAGCTGGCGGGTTCAAACCCTCAACCTTCCATTTAGCAGCAGAGCGCTTTACCCCTGGTACCTCGAGGGCCCATTAGACATGATTCCAACCTAAAACCAAACCCCGTGCCCTGGAGTTGATTCCGACTTACAGGGACCCTATAGGACAGAGTAGATTGCTCCACAGGGGTTCCTACACTGCACGTCTTTACAGAAGTGGACTGCCACATCTTTTCCCCGTGGGGTGTCTGGTGGGCTCGGACTGCTAATCTTGCAGTGAGCAGCCCACTACTTAGCCCACTGTGTTACTAGGGCTTCCCTTAACCATGATCTCACTGCTGTCAAGTTGATTCTGACTCGTAGTGACCCTGTATAAGGTTTCCAGGACTGCAGATCTTTACAGGAGCAGAGGGCCTCAGCTTTCTCCTGCTGCTGGCGGGTCTCAACCACTGGCCTTGTGGGCAAACAGCCCAATGCTTAAACTGCAGTGCCACCAGAGCCCCTTGATGGCATCTGGAAATTCTAAGAGCTGAGTATAGGCATCTCTCTGTTCTGTGGCCCCGGGAGGATATACCCGAATGGCTTGGCCCATTTTTCCTTCCCAGACTGTAGAGGGTATTAGGCTTAAGCCTGACAATTTTGAGTCAAATCTTGTCCCTTCAACTTACAAATTTTATGATGTCAGCCAAGTTACTTAACTGCTGTACTTCAATGTTTTCCTCATCTGCAATTGAGGGCTCATTGAAAGGTTAAATTAAATGATCCACGTCAAGTGCAAACACAATGAACGATAGCTTCACAAAGAATGCCTTCTGTCTAAGGCAAAGGCCACACTCACAATATTGGTCTCACTTGTATTCCTTTGAGCTAAATTATAGCACCATAGCCCAATTTATTTATTTTGATAGAGGCATTTGCTCAGGCCTCATTGGTCTTGTCCTCAGGCTTGTATCATTCACTAGCATGCTTCTCAACCTTCTAGCAGCTCTAGAAGGGCAGCCTTTCAGGCCACAGAGAACTCATTGAATTCATGAGCGGCAAAATAGTAGGTCTGGGGAAGAGGAACTAGCCCTCCATGAAGGCAATAGTTTTGCCTCACTGTAGTATCCCCAGCACAAGGGAAAGTACCTCATAGATTCCACGGCTGAAAAGAGTCAGTGGAAATATAAAAATAGAAGATAAATCATTTTCATTGCAGAATAAGACTGCTATGATGGATAAAATACCAACATAAGCTAGGTTTGGAGCTAAAGGGATGAAATTGTTTGAGAAGTGAAGAAAATTCTCTTAATAGTTATGTCTTACACTACCAAGTACTTAGTGCATCATTGCACTGTCCTAAGCATTTTAGATGTATTCTTATAATCTTCACATTCACCCTGAGTTCAAACTCGAAAACCAAACTCACTGCCATGAAATCTTTCCCAACTCATAGTGACCCCATGGGGATTCTGAAACTGTAACTGTTTGCAGTTGTAGAAAGCCACATTTTTCTCCCACAGGGCAGCTGATGGTTTCAAACTGACCACCTTGTGGTTATCAGGCCAATGTATAACTCACTACTCCACCAGGGAGCTTGGCATTATTCCATCTTCCTGAAGAACAGAGAGAATGAGATCAAGTATTTAGTTTGCTCCCAAATCACACAACTGGTAAGAGAATCAGTATTCAAACCCAGGCCGTCTGGCCCCAGAGACCTTTTTTTTTTTTTTTTTTTAATATCAAACACTATTCATGAATGGAAAGAGAAGGTTTTTACCCATTTCAAATAAGAACTGGGGTATGTCTGCGTCGTTTTCCTATGCCTTTACTTGGTCCATGTTCTCCCTTACAATGTCATTTCCATTGCACAAGGGCTTCTAAATGATTCGAAAAACGTGTTCTAGTACCTCAAGAACCAGTTTATTGTTGGATCCTAACAACTTGCTGGTCACTAAGCAGGTGTTTGCCTTTAGGAAGTTACTTAGCCACTCAACAGTTTCCTGAGTTTCGTGGAAATTTGAGTTCTCTCTCCTAACGTGCTTAACTTCGAACTGTAATTTATTTGTACCTCATGTTCCTCATCTGCAGAGTGGAGATAATCAGCATTTACTCCACAGTCTTATGGGCGATCAATAAAATAAGCCCTGTAAACTTCTTAGCACAGCGTGTAGCAGTCTCTTACCCAGACCATTTGGCTATTATTATTCATTCAACATAACAGAGTTACTCTCTGATACTTGGTTTCTATATCTAAGGTGCTCAGTAACAATACATTGTAGTAAATTCTCAAGAAACACTAACGTTTAGGGTTGCCTATTTTGGTGACGCGGGGAGACTAAGCAGGGGAGCTGGGTCTTGGGCTGATCAGTGGCTTCAGTGCCGTGGAGGCGGATTCTCTCTTCGAGCCTAACCAGGGCAGGAGGACCGTGAGAAGAACTCTGCACACCGTAATTCCTCATTCATTTGGCAAGCTGCCTTTTTTTCTCTCTCCCCTCCTGCGGTCGTGGTTTAGTCACGACCAGGCAGAGGTACGAAGACCAGGAAGCACAAGGCCCTTTGGCAGAGAGACAGAGACAGGCCACGCCCCACGGACAGCTAGGCCCAAGAGCCTAATGCTAGTTCTATCGTGAAATTCTTGGATTCGGTCGCAATGAACCACCACCCATCGCAGAACCCAATGTAGCTCGCCAGTCTCCATCTTTAGAATTGGAAGAATAAGAGTGGGCTAAAAGGGAATCCCGGTTGTGGGAGAGTGGGGTACGGCAGCTGCCTGGGGACCAAAACGTCTCTAAGGTAAAGTTGCAGCCTGAAGCGATTTTTTGACCCCCGACACTTAATGGACTGCTGAAGACCCGGATGTGTCTGGGACTGGCCGAGGTACCCATTAACGCGCCCCCGCTAGACCATCCCCCTCCTCCGTTTAGGATTGGGTGTTAAGTACGCCAATCATCACTTCTTCCACCACTCTCTCTCTAAGGGTGGGGTGCAGTTTCGGTATCCCGTCTTTCATTGGTACGGCTCAGCACAAGAGGGCGGGTTGGCCGGCTTAGGCCGTCCAATGGGCGTCGTGGCGTGTGGTGAAGGCGGAGCCGAGGCGCTTGGCAGCTGCCCAATCAGCGTCCTTGTTTGTGTGGTGCCGCCGCCGCCGGTGCAGCCGCCGCCAC